GGAGGGGGAGGGCGGTTGGCCTGGCGTGGGGCAAAGCTGGGGAGAGGACCAGAGAGAAAAGAGAAACCAGGGCTGCTTTCTGCACCTGCATCTGGCGCCCTGGAGGCGACGTGCTGTCGTCGAATGACCCTCCCTGCTGTGCCCTGGGGGGTCGTCCTGGTCGCCCTCCCTACTCCGCCCCCTTTCAATGGCCCCTCTCCCTCTCCCTCTCTCTCTCCCCCTGTCTCCCCGACCCTCCGCCCTCCTCCTCGTTCGCTCTCGCTCCCTCCCGCGCGGTGTCAAGTCTCTTCTGGCGGAGCGGGGTCAGTAAATGTGGGCCAAGGGGTGCTGCTTCGTGTGATGGGCGGCGTTGGGCGGGGCAGGGGTGGAGGACGAGCGGGAGGAGGTACCATCGCTGAAGAAGAGGGGGGTTGGGGCGCTGATTAAGGGCGGGCCGTGTGGTGTGGGGGGGGGGGCGTTGATCATCCCGCCGATAGTGTTGGCACCTCCTCGTCCCGCCCCGCTCGGCCACGACGCCGCACTGGTGGGCGCGGTTCAACGGACGGCCCCATCCCCGCCCCTCTGTATGCACAGCGTAGTGCAGAGAGTTTATGGGATGGGGCCCCTCCGCAGCGCCGCGACTTCGTTCCGAAAGGCCAAAGGGGGTTCCATACAGAATAAAATGTCAACAACAGACAAGGTGGGGGTACCAGACCCCGCGGACCCGCCGCCCGCGCTCTCCGGCTCCGCTCTCGTTTGAACGTACGCTCTCCCTCTGTCCCTCACTTCCTCCCTCTCTTCCTCCCTCTCTTCCTCTCCCTTCCCCTTCCTTTCCCCCTCTCCCCCTCCCTTCCTCCCTCTCTCCCTCTCTCCCTCTCTTGCCTCACGCAGCTGCGCCATTGAGTGCGTGGCCCGCTGGGGTTGTTTGCGAAGGAGGCGTGTTACGATCCAAGGCGGGGCGGCGGGGCCTTTCGTCTCGCCTCGCCGAGATATTGCTTCTCGACGCGACGCGGGGCCATGCGGCAGACACCCGCTGATGGTGCGCAATATTTCTCCTCGTTGGCATTCGGCAGCGAAACACGGGAACCCCTCCGCCTAGGTGAGGAAAAACAAAACGCAGCGCGTCTGCCCCTGGGCTACACATCTCTGGGGTACTACACACCCCTGGGGGACTACACCCCATTCGAGCGGCGACACCTCTAGGGGTCTACTCACCCCTCAGGTGGGGGGGGGGGGGTAGAGACTACATACCCCTGGGTGGTCTGCTCACCCCCTCACCGCTCCGCTTTGTAGAGACTCCCTGATAGCCGCCCCCGAAGTGGCTTAGCGAAGGCTCACCGCCCTTTCCTGATGTTGACTAATAATCCCGAGGCCAAAAGAGAAAAGGGATAAGGAAATGGAGACGTGAGCTGGACGGCAGGCGGTCCAAGAGTAAAAGAAAAGTAGTAAAAGGCAAGGGGTAGAAAAAATAGCCGTCTGTCCGGGAGGCAGGGGAAGAGGGAGCGGGGGGGCTTTGAGCTGATAACTTTGGCGCTCAGGTCTCTCGCGAACGTGCCGGGAATGTCGGCCCGTGGAGCCGTCGCGCCTGTCCCACCCCTCCCCTCCTGGCCTCGGTGCCCTCGGGGCCCCCGACACGGCGAGCCCGTCCCGCGGCCGTCTCGTAAAAGAAATCTTGAAGACGGGGCCAATCCCGAGGCAGAGATTGGTGAACACGGTCGATCGTAAAGAGTATGCGGTGAGCCGGGTGGCGGAGGGGGGGTTGCGAGGAGCCCCCGGGGGAGCAGGCAGACGGGGCGCCGGGGGGGCTGTTGCTGCTGGATGCTGCTAGATGGACCGCGTCTATGCCAGCGTTACTCCGGCCCATAAATAGCAATAAATATTGATAAATTGAGCGTAAGCCGGATTTAAAAGTTTTCCCGACGCTTCGGCCGCCCCACCGCCTCCGCCGCCTCCGCCGCCTCCGCCGCCTCCGCCGCCTCCGCCGCCTCTGCAGCCCGAGGTGGCTTTGAGGGCAGAGTTATGCCCTCGGCGGTGGTCCGCTCCGCTCGGCGCCGCGAGATAATTTCTTGCAGCGCTCCCCGTCGTGGGAAAATTGGGGTTGGCGGCGGCGGCGGCGCTGCGGCGGCGGTCCTGCCAGCGGGTAATGGGCCGCGCTGGAAATGAGATTCCGCCCGACAATTTCTCTCTCGCAGCCGCGTCCTCCGTTTTGAATAACGCGCGCGTTGGCGGCGCCGCGTCGCGCATGTCCGCCGGAAGTAACGCGGCGGACCTACTCGCGGGGACGGCCCTGTTGTCGTTGGGGCGCGGTGCGCAGCTGTCGGCCAGACAGACACGATTTCCCGTCTCCGCGGTGCGCTTCTATGGCGGCCGACAGGCGGACCGGGATCCGTCCCGTCATGTTTTGAGGAAAGACGGCTGCGGCGGCGGGGGCGCGCTTCCCCGCCACGCCAAACTGTGCGCCACCCCGTCGGGGATGGGGCGCAGGGATGGCAGTGACGTGGCACGAAATGGCACCGCCAGACAGCAGCACCACCACCACCACCGCGACCACATTAGCATTGTGTAAAGGGAAGTTCCCGGGGGGAAGGATGAGAAAGGCGGAGCAGGAAAATAGACTGGCCCAGTTCATGGCAGCAGATGTGCTAGGATAAAGAAGTAAAAACACCCTCTATAAATGTGTCAACGGTTGGTGTAAGGATGGCCTCGAAAGTTTTAGCTGTAGCCTCCCCCTTGTGATGCCAGACCCGCCGAAACCCTGACTCACGTATTGTCCTCCCCGTCCGTACGTACACCCTTAACTTCGCCCTTAACGGCACAGGACAGCTCAAAAGGATGCACAAACAACCTCGCTGGTGCGTCACTGTGTGCGACGTGTATGTACAGCGACGTTGCCCCCCCCCCCCTCCCTCCCCCTGATGCACCCCTCCAACGCCTCCAACCCACAACTCTGCTCAGTTGCCGGCGCTGGAACCGCAGGGGCGATGCGGCGGTGACCGACCATGAGGCCGCCGCCTCCCTCACGCACTCCCGCCCCCGACACCCTGACCGCCCTCAAGGAAGAGGACGACGACGAAGAGGATAAGCAGCGCCTTCCATGACTGCAGCCGTCCCCGGGGGGCTGCTGCAGCCGCCTCCGCCGCCCCCCGGCGGCCAGCCCCGCCCGTCCAAGGGGCGGCCCTCGGGCCGCGCGGCACCCGCCGCCGCCCCGGCCAAGAACGGCCCCGGCGCCGCACCCGCCTCCGCGCCGTGCTGCTCCTTCCAGAACAGCCTCGGCCCGCCCGAGTACCGCAAGTGGCGCCGGCTGCACGGCCTGCAGCTGCCGCTGCACCCGCAGCAGGTGGCGGGCTGGGTGACGCTGGCCGCCTTCACGGCCGCCACCTTCCTCGTGCTCGTGCCGGCGCTGGGGCCCGAACTGCGGCCCTCCGTCTTGCCCGTGCTCGCGGTCCTGTTCGCCGTGCACGCCGTCTCGCACCTGACGGCCGTGCTGCTGGACCCGGCTGACGCCCCCCTCCGCCTCCTCCGCGTGCGCACGGCCGTGCCCGAGTTCGACCGCAGCAAGCACGCGCACGTCATCGAGCACGGCCGCTGCCACCTGTGCAACATCGCGACCTCGGGCCCGCGCACCAAGCACTGCAGCGTGTGCAACAAGTGCGTAGGCCGCTTCGACCACCACTGCAAGTGGCTCAACCACTGCGTCGGCGGCCGCAACTATGCCGCCTTCCTGGTGTGCGTCGTGTCGGCCGTGCTCACGGCGCTGGTCGTGGTGGGCGTGGCCGTGGCCGAGCTGGTACTCTACCACGTGGAGCCGCGCTGGCTGTCGCCCTGGACTTACGGCGCACCGCACAGCCGTTCGGCCACCGCCTTCTTCGTTCCGGACACGGCGCTCGCCTTTCTGTGCGTGGTGAGCGCCCTGGGTGTGCTGGCCGCGGTTTCGGCCGGGCTGCTGCTGCACCTGTGCCTCTTCCACGTGTACATCTCCGTGCTCGGCATCACCACCTACGAGTACATCCGCCGCTACAGGCAACTGGCGGCCTCGGGCGCTCAGCCGACCCTGCTCCTGCCGCAGCCGCCGCCCCCTCCGCCGCAGCCGCAACCCACGCTGTCCGTCCTGTCAGCGAGCAACGGCGGCGTGCCGCGCTCCCCCAACAGCAGCGCGGACGCGGACGTGCACAGCAACGTGGGCACGCCGCTTGACTCGAGGTTGTCGGACTCGTCGGCGTCGGCCACGCCGCGGCCGCCACCGGCTCGACCCCGCCGCGTGTCCTTCTGCTGCGGCCCCGCTGTCCCCACGCCCACGTCGTCCACGCCGGGCGGTGGGCCGCCGTCACGCGCCAGCACGGCCAGCACCACCATCCACTCGCCCTCGCCGTCCTCCATCCTGAAGCCGTCCACGCTGTCCCTGGACAAGGACGTTGACTTGGAGGCGGGCCACGGCTCGCCGTACACCATCTCGTACCCTGGCCGCGAGGAGGTGGCCGAAGACACGATGTGCTGCGCGTCGCTGCGCTCCAGCGGGTCCAGCGCCTCGTCCAGGCGCTCCAGTGGCAGCAAGGCACGGCTCAAGGGCGGCTCCAGCAAGTCGGCCTCGGAGATGAGCTTCCGCACGGGCGGCTACCAGCAGCCCGAGGTGACGGAGTACACGGGCTGCGAGTGCAACCCGGCACGCATCCCCGTGGGCCCGCCGCCGACGTCCACGCTGCGCGCGCCGCGGCCGCGGCAGGCCCCGCCCCGCCAGCATCGCCCGCCGCGGCCGCAGGCGCAGCAGCAGCAGTCCTTCCTCAGCCGGCTGTGCTCGTCCTTCAGCGCGCCGCACCCCCGCGCGGGCGTGGCGTACCCGGCGGGGGTGGGCGCGGGCGTGCGCCGCAACCAGGTGCGCCCCACGGCCGAGTCCCCGCAGGCCAGGCTCATGGGCGGCGACGGCGGCGGCCGCAGCGCGCACGGCACCAAGTCCTCGCGCAGCAACGGCAAGCACGCCGGGAAGCACGACGACCGGCCTCGGCGCCCGTCCTCCGCCGACAGCAACAAGTACTCGCCGCTGCCCGCGCTGCCGCAGCCCTCGCGCCGCCGGCTGCAGGGCGTCTCGCTCAAGGAGCTCGGTGACGTGCTGGCGTACGCGCAGGACCCCAAGCAGGTGCCGAAGCAGGAGCCCAAGCCGCAGCCGGCCGCACAGCCCGCGCCAGCGCGCAGGTCGCCGCAGCAGGTCAAGCAGCAGCTGCCGCCCGCGCCCCGGCGGCACCCGTCCGACCCGGTGCGGCGCGCGGCGCTCACGCGCTCGGGACGCCGCCGCAGCAGCACCCCGCAGCCCGCCAGACCCAAGTCCCCCACGCTGTCGCCCATCCACGAGAGCGGGCTGTCCAACCCGCCCACGCCGCAGCGGCCGCGCACCACCCGCACCACGCCGGACAGCCCGCCGCAGCAGGCGCAGGAGCTCATCCCCAGCAGCGACCCGGAGGACGCGGACGACGAAGAGTACGCCCACAGCATCCTGTACATCGACGAGGACGACGCCTCGTTCTTCACGGCGTCCATGTCGTCCATGTCCTCCGCCATGACGCCGCTGACGCCGCTCACGCCCATGACTCCCCTCACGCCCATGGGGCCCAGTGGCGGCTTCTCCAGCTGGGCGGCCCACAAGGAGGCGCGGGCACCCGCCTCCGCCTTATGAGGCCGCCACCAACCCCCAGCGCCACCAACCCCCCCGTGCCGTCCTCAATGCCGTCCCCAACCCCACCCTGACTGATCCCTATCACTGCCAGTGCTAAACGCTGAGTCTATTTTTTTGTACCTTTACCGTCCCCCTATCGAGTGGGTCGTGTCTGTGAGAGTTAGATATGTGAAACAAAGTATCGGCGAGCCGACGGCTGATGGTGGATGGATTACACTTTGCTGAGCAACTCTGCGAGAGCGCGGCGAGCAACCTCCAGGACGAAGGTAGGCAGCGTGTGTAAGTGTAGCTGTGTGTGTATTGTACGATTTTGTAGAAAGGCTGGTGTGACCATACCGCAGGCCTCGTCCTAGAAAGTGTACTAGAAATTCCGCACTTCTCTGCCCCGAATCGACTGCTGCTATCCGCACTCCCGAAGCGATAAGCTTTCCGGTGCGGGAGCGCGCCGGCGGGCCCCGGGCCCCGGGTATGGTGAATGGGAATGTATTTGATCAATA